AATACCCAACAAAAACACATTTGATCGCTTGTTCTTCAAGCTTTGTACGTTGATGTGGGTGTAAGTGAACTTATATAACACATCCAAGAATATGAGGTGGTAAATAAACTATAGGATGAAGGATACAATGATCAGACAACACATCAAAAGGCCTTCGAAAGTTAAGCACACTAGAAAGGGTTTGATTAATTAAATAAACGGCAGAGCTCACAGCCTCACCCCATAAATGAGATGGGACATTACCATCTATCAAAAGTGATCTTATCACCTCTAATATATGTTTATTTTTCCTCTCAGTCACTCCATTTTGTCGTGGTGAATAAGGACATGTAGTTTGATGCAAAATGCCTTTAGAGTTCATGAACTCTATTAATTCGGTCTTAAAATATTCCCCTCCATTGTCTGATTGAATGACCTTAATAGATGTGTTAAATTGTGTAACAATAAGATGATAGAAGGAACGAACCATATCATACACATCACTTTTATGTTTAAGCAAATATACCCAAGTTACCCGAGTACAATCATCAAAAAACTGATAAACCATTTTTTTTCAATTATGTGTAGATTACGGGGCAGGGCCCCAAACATCTGTGTGAACTACTGAAAAAGGAAAATCAGTTTTGTTATTGCTTAAAGGAAACACAACACGATGATTTTTTGCCAAAACACAAGTTTAACAAAAAAAAATCAGAAATATTGCATTTATGAAATAATGATGAAAATTATTTTTTTAAAAAATAAGGTGAGGTTTGCACCTCACTTATATATTATAATTTGGCCATATCTCTAGTCGATATGGGACTTCCAACACACCCCCTTCACGTCGAGGTATAGACATCTTGAGCGTGATAGTAGAAATTGGTTGGTCCGATAGTGGCCCGACAACGGATGGAATAGAAATGCCCAAGAAACAAGAAATATCGTTAGTATAGGCTCTAACTTGGCTCTGATACCATATTAGAAAGTGAGTTTTTGCCTAACTCAACCCTACAAAACCGGCTTGTAAGGTGAGGTGCGCATCTCACTTATATATTATAATTTGACCATATCTCTAGTCGATACGAGACTTCGAACACACTCCCTTGACACTGAGGTATAGACATTTCGAGCGTGATAGTAGAAATTGGGTGGTCCGATAGTGGTCCGACAACGGGTATAATAGAAATGTCCAAGAAACAAGAAATATCGCTAGTATAGACTCTAACTTAGCTTTGATACCATAATAAAAAGTTTAAAGAATAATTCTAATGTATTATTTCGAAGAGTAGAGTACCATATATATACATTCAAGGATCCTATAATTCTTCATCTATTAAAGGAAAGAATGACAGGTGCACAAATTTGCACAAATTATAATAATATCTAAATTATAACTAACATAATATTTTGCTTAATATCTTTCAATAGAATATTTGACATATCTTAACACCTTTTACTGAAATAAGGGCCCAAACATTAACTTGATATAAACTTAAAATTAGATGTTGTAGAAGAAGTCATAACTTTCGCACGAGTTCTTATTTGTCGCTGCATGCATGTTATGTAAACTGTTTCGGTTGAGATGTGGAGGTCCCTTAAAACATTCCTGATAGTACTAAAGACTAGTGGATGCTAAAGACTGGGCGGACGAACGTTGTAGACGTTATGGACCGGACGGGCGTATCCTTGCTCGAAGCTCTTTAGGGTTGAGAACGGGGCTGTTAACCTTCTAACTGGACGGACGAGGCTTGGGGCGGACGGACGATACTCCATGCTCTAGGTTGAAGATCGAGTGGGCTTTTCTCCATGCACTCCAGGTGGTCGTTGTCGTCCTCCTCCACGTAGGGCGGGCGGGCACATGTCAAAGGCACTCCGACGCTCAAGTCAATAATGTAACCGAGCGGTAAGTAATGCATGTATGTATTGCATCCTGGTCTGAAGTCATACCTGAGACCTTTATTTATACTGGTTGTAATGGGCTTTTACCTTTCGTGGGCCTGATGACGGCTCAATCATACCTTAATCTCTATTAGGGGCTTTAATGAGCTATTATCGTTTGTAATCTAATCATGCGGTCTGTTCGGTCGGGATGGTCGCTCAGTATGGGTGGTCGGCCTGGTCGACGGGGTAATTGGCCTGGTGTTGGCCTAAAAAGAACCGTTCGATCTTAGGAATAGCCGTTCGGTTTGGACCATGTGGTCGGCCATAATGATTGGCCTGGTGGCGGCATAAGAAATAGCCGTCCGGTCAGGACCATATGATCGGCCAGGGTTATAAGCCTAATGGTCGGTCTAAGGACCGTTTGACATATAAAATAGGGAGAACCGTACTACCTAAGGATCGTTCGACATGTGAGGTATGAAGGATCGTACAGTACATAAACTAATACAAATTTAACAAAAGGTTTTCATGGTTTTTTTATGTTCAAATTTTCATTTAGAAAAAAAAAACAAATAGCACCTACATCCTATCTCTTCAAAAAAGTAATATTTGAGAATCATAAAATGATAAAATTCATTTGCAGTAACAATAAAATGATATAAAGTAATAACAAATGATTGATATGTTTTTCAGAGATTAAAACAATAATAATCAATATTCTTCATTTATTAAAAATGTCAAAATTAAAATAAACTAATTAGAATTAATGACAAAGTTATTATAATAAAAAATAATTTTATTATAAATATAAATAATATTTATTATTTTATTGTAAATAATTTTTTATTGTTAGGAAATTTTATAATTAAAAAATATTAAATTTTAAAAAAATAGTAAGTTAAAAGGTAAAATTAATAAAATAATATTTTAATTTAAAAAAATTATTTAAAGGGTAAAATTAAAAAATAAATATAGAAAGCAAGAATGAAAAATCCCTAAGTATAGATAATCAGTAAAAGGAAAATAAAAATTTGAAGGATCTAAAAGGAGAATAATTTCCAAAAGACTATAAAATTATACCCAATTATACTATTGCGAACTTTAAACATGTCTAAACCTTTTTTTTAAACTACATTATCATTAATGATAAACTATTATATCAGGAAGAACTACTGATTATATAATAATTATTTTTAAAATTTATTTTAAAATGATTTCCAATTAGCATTATTTTTTTTATATATAATTAATGAAATTTTCACTCTCTACTAATCCAGATAATATAGATAAGCGAGGTGTGAATTAATCTTGATATAAGGATTAAAATATTAACTCTGAGGAATTAATTAAATTATAAAATAAGTTCATACAAAATGAAATGTTGACAGCAGTTATATAACTTGGAATAAACTATCACTTTACACATTAATTACACCACCTTAATTATGATGGCTTTTGAAACTCAATTTATATACTATATCTTATAATGGCTTTCAGTTCCAAATGTGCAGGATTAACACATAGATGTTGTAGCCCTATATTTTTTATCATGCTGATAACTCTATCAAGGAGATAATTTTTTTTTGATACATGTTGAAAGTCTCACATAGATGAGACATATAAGATCATTTTGGATATAAATTTTATCTGATAAATTTATTTAATAAAATTGAGTTAGATTTAAAATCATTTTTTAAAATATATATTATTAAGAGTGATCCAAAACTTATTTAAGAAAAATTTATTGTTTGCTGAGTTTATCTTATTAATTAATTATTGTTGGATCATTATATTGATGCCTAGATTTTATATTTAAAATATATTATCTGAGTGTGAAACAAATATATTAGAAATATGATATTGACTAAAAATAATTTTAAGTTCAATTTATAAGTAAATACATCAAAATTTATGTAAAAGAATTTCAACCTTTCTACTCAACTAAAACTATAGTTTGGTAATTTTTTTAACAAATATTTTAGCATGTTTTCACTAATTTTCATTTAAAAAGTTTTAAAATTATCCCTAGATGAACTTAGGTGTGTTTGAATGGAGTGAAAGAAAAGGAAAAAGTAAAAGATCTAATTAACCCACCATCATTTGCCTCCTAAATTTTAAGACTAATAATTTGACATGAGAGTATAAGATTGTTGAAATGTCTATAACATGCAAAAGATTATAGTGTTTTAGATTAAATCAAATTTGACACTTAGCTACGGGATATATATATATATATATATATAAAGAACACACTTCAGCCCTTTGAAAAACAAATATAAAAAACCTCTTTTAAGGGGAATAACTCTACTAGGTAATAGTAATTTAATCCTTGAAGACAATTTAATTAGAAGAGAAAAATGAAGAAATTTGAGTAGGTACATTTTTTCCACATGTAAGAACTTCAATTACTGGGAGTGGTAAAATGTTACAGGGGCCTATCCTATAGCCTAATGTGCTGGTTCAGTATTATAAATGACCTATATGTCATTTTTCAGTTTCAATTAATATTATAAAAATTATCATTCTAAATATAATATTATATGTACTTCTTTTATTTATTTCTCTTTTACTTGCATGAATGCATAACATTGGTATTAGTCAAAGCTCTTACCACCACAAACCGTAGGGTTCATGGAAGCTTTAAAGGATCAAGTTCGGCAGTTGTATTTACAAATTTATATTTTATCTTCATAACCATATTCTTCAAATTACTAATACTTCTAACCTTATCTAATGAATTGCTTATTTTTACTATCTAAGTGTCGTTAACTTAAGAAAAAACCAGACAGAAGCTCTTCTGGTAGCAATGGCAATCACATTATAATTCCAATAAAATATTTGAAATAAGACGTTAAATTTGAATTTTATAAACAAATAACACACGTGTAGTTGTAAAAAATTTCTGTTCCTAAAGTAGCAGTAACCTGCTAGAAAAGCCAAAAAGATTCAGAACCTTTACAGCTAGACTTTTCTTTTTCTTCATAGACTCCTTATGGTTGCTTTCAATTATCTTTCAAGGGACATGCTCACTATCACTCCATTGCTATTTTCATGGCTTAATTCTTCCCTATAGATAAGCAAGCCATTATCATATTTATATTTTCCATCATCAGTCAGCTTGAATTCAGCACTATCAGTGTTTGATGTTTGTGAGGAGAGAACAAAAGATGAAGTCACAGTCACAGCATGAAAAACCAGCAATTATTGGAGATGACAGAAAGAACAATTGGGAAGAAAGGGCTTTTGCAGAAGATGCAGTTGGTAGCATGTGGCCTCCAAGACCTTACTCTTGCACCTTTTGTAAGAGAGAGTTCAGGTCTGCACAAGCTCTTGGAGGTCACATGAATATTCACAGAAGGGACAGGGCTAGGCTCAAACAAAACCTTAACCCTCATTACCAAAATTATCACAGAATCAAATCCTTATTAGGTAATAATAATCATCCTTTTTCTTCACCACTCATCTCCACCCAGATCAATTGTGGTCTTACTCATGCTCATAGCTATTCTAGCCAAGCAACTACAATTTCTACGACCAGATCACTCTCATGTATATCCACACAAGAAAATAAATTTTCACCTTCCTCTTCTTCTTCATTCATCTTGGGACAAATGGGGTCTCCTAATTCAGAACAAGCAATGGAGTACGGTTTTAAAGGCTTGGAATGTGGTAATTTTGTTGAAACAAGTTTGTCTATGGGTATGACTACCGTGTTTGGCCAAAATTCATCACCAAACATCAGTTGCAAGAGACTAAAAAACAACATTTCTTCTCTTCCTATTTTCCTCAGACCATGTTCAAAGGACAAAGGCCTGCCTTTTCAACCTGTGGAAATCTCAGTAGAACTTCATCACGCAATGGAAGACTTGGATCTTGAACTCAGGCTAGGGAAACAACAAGTTGAGTAGTTATTTATTAAGTTGTACAACAAACAGAAGTTTTGAACTTAATTATATTTTAAGTCTCAGTGTTGCTTTCATTCCCCTAGTCACTTCTTTCTTCATCCTCCATTTTTTGTTTTTCTTCTCTCTTTGCTTAAATGATAAGGTTTACTTCCTTCAAATGTTTGATTCTATGATCTCTTGTTGCATGTTACTGTCTTTCTTTTTCCTGTTTCCTTCATCAATAGATAGTGTTTTTCTGTTTGTTTTTTTGTTAGTCTGAGATCAGTAATGAAGTAAAATGATAAAAGAAGATACTAAATTTCAACAACATATGAACTTGAACTCGGGAGAAGAAAAACAAGAACAATTACAATAACTTTTTGATAGAATATTGGCTGTATAAATTTATTTTATTTTTTAAATTCAATTTCAACACAGTATTTTTGCCTTAATGGTCTTCTAATTATATATATATATATATATATATATATATATATGATTAATACAACAAACAAAATTTACAATCAAGACGTAGGAAAATTAAACTATAGTTTTTTATTCACTTTGCTTATCTTATATTTTTATAAATGGTTTTCCTTTTTCTACTTCTATTGTCCTTGAAATTGGATAACTTAGTCCTAAAAATATAATTTTGCACAACTCAAGCGAGAAATTAAAAAATTTAGGGTTAAATATGTTTTTAGTCCTTCAACTATCAAGGGTTTTTATTTTTAGTCACTATCCCAAACTTTGGTACACTTTGATCCTTATCTTTAAGAAAGTATAAATTTTCGTCTTCCATAACTAATAATGTTAATTTTTTTTCTCCTACGTGGCTAACGGCATGACACGTAGAATGCCAATACAAATTTTGTTTCTAACTCATTAAAATTAAAAGGAAAAACATTTAATTGTATGGTCAAAATTGGAATCTTATTTTTCTTCGTTCAAGGGTTCTCCAATCACTCTTTTCTTCTCCATCTCCAATCAGCCATGGTCAACACTAGTGATATTTTTCCAATCTCCTTCCCAGTTTCTCTCTCTACCCTCACACACACCACTGAGTAAAACGTTGTCAACAAAACACTCTTTCAGTATAGCCTTTTCCAGTGACCCATTTGTTTATTCTCAAATTTCCACTTGAATTTCAATTGCAATAGGTAAATTGCCCAAAAACCCTAGCCATTTATAGATGACCCACTTGTAAATTTGCAATTTTGTTGCTGAATTTCATTTGTGTTTGATAATTTCTTTGCATCTTCTCCGCCAATTTTGGGGAAAAAAATGTCCGAACTCGATTTGCACAAAAAAGTAGTCGATAGGTATCTCAAGCGTGAGATTCTGGGTGAAAGTACATACGGGATTGTGTACAAAGTCATTTGTACACAGGTAGCTTTTTTTTGAATGTTTCCCTTTATTCTTTTTGAAAAACAAAGTAAAAGAACAATTATGAATAAAATTGCGATAATATTTTTACTGAAATATGTTTTTCTATGGATTGTGAGAATTGGGTCTGAATAAAATTTGAAACTTGGAAAGGAATTGAAATCTCCTGTATTGAAGGTTGATTGAGAAAATATTAGGGTAGAGAGAATGATGATGAGAGGATTCTTGCATAAACTGGGAAGGAGAGGAGAAAAATATTTACTAAGTGTTGACCATGGCTAATTGGAGATGGAGAAGAAAAGAGTGTCGGGATAAACAAAAAAAATTCTAGTTTTGACCTATAATTTAATGTTTTTTTAAAATTTTAATTAAAGTCAGAAACAAAATTTGAATTGGCCTTCCATGTGACACACCGTTAGCCACGTCAGGAAAAAATTAACGCCGTTATGGAGGATGAAAATTTACAATTTCCTTAAAGACAAGGATCAAAGTGCACCAAAGTTTGGAAGAGAAATTAAAAATAAAAATGTTTGATAGTTGAGGAACTAAAAATATATTTAACCCAAAAATTTATATGATTTATTGTTATCTTTTTCTGATCCAAATAATAGATTTATATATATATATATATATATATATATATATTAAAAAATAGTAATAATTTTTAATATAATAAATATATGAGTAAATTCAAATTCAAATTACATATATTATATCAAAGTTGTTAATATAAAAAATTATAAATTATTGTCATTGTAAAAAATATTATAATTTTATAAATTAGATACTTCTATAACCTATAAAGTATTTAAAGTATCGAAAACTAATACGTATTAAATATAAATAAATAAAGATACAAATTGGTAAAGATGGAAGGTTTGAGAGGAATGGGAGACAAGGAAAAATTAAGTTTAAGGTATTAAAGTGGTGAAAGATAGTGACATTAATTGACCGTTACAAGTTACTTGACATACATACATCCCACGTAACTAACACTATAGGCACCCCAATAAATCTCTACAAAGTAATCAACAATAACTCCTCTTATTACTGAAAAAGCGTTCTTTCTACGCATGATACGTCGCCATTACATTTATATTTCTACTATATTTTGAGAGAAGATTATTGACAAAATACAATATGAATAATATCAGTCCAACTCATATAAATAATTATTATTACTTTTAACTCAAAATACTTAAATATTTGAGGTAATTCTTTCCAAATTTACGTCTGGAAGTTGAGTTATTTGTTTAAGAAATTTGTAAAATATTTTTCAATGTAAAAAGTCAATAACAACTTTCTATAATAGAATAGAATAGAAACTATATAACAGTATTAAAAGTAAGTGATCATTACTTTTTATATATGTGCTTATGCACTTTTTACTTTTTATAAAAGAGTAATAAGTTTGTTATTTATAATTAACTAATTAATATTTGAATAATCTTTTAATGCGTAAAGTTTCCCAAACTTAAAATTCGAGTACTTGTTTTAGGTAAATTTACGATTAGTTCTACATTTTTTAGGATGAATAAGGTCAAGTTTTTGCAGCTTTTATATAAATTTTTCAAACTGAAGTACTTTTTAGCTTAATACACTTGTTTGACTTTGTGTATAAACTAATATTTTTGTTTGACTAGTTTAGGTTGCAATTTTGTATTTAATTTTGATGAAACATTTTCATCCAAGCATATAGTCAATATATAATAATGAACTTTGATTGCTTTATTTTTTTATTCATTTATCCTGTTTGATGGTTCTGCCTACCCATAAATTATTAGTTAAATGTATTAAATATCTTAGATTCGTTTATTTACTTATGTACTTAGAACGATTTATGTATACACAAAATAACTATAATGTAATGTTGTAGTTGTTTATTGTTGTATAAACTGACAAAAACAATAAAGATCACGAATACGGAATTTCTGATACGTGTAGATTACTATTCTTAAAGACTTATCTGTGATGTATTGTATAAGCTTTCAGGATGCAACAAGAACTTCTCAAAATTTATGAGGATCTCAGAATTAACAAGGAACTCTAAAAAGAGTAAAAGAATAAACTCAGAATAAAAAGAAAATAAGAAAAGAAAGAAAGAAAAATTAAGGAAAAGGCTTGTAAAATAAAGTTTCTTTTGGAAGAGAAAAGAAAGTTTTGGTTTTGTGTTTAAAAGCTCACTGAATGCTCTATTTATAGAGCTAAAAACAAAAAGGGAATGACCCACTAGTGCCATGACTTGCAAGATACACCTCGCATTACGGTTTCATTCAAGCCAAACTTCCTTAGGCTTGCGGTGCAATATCGCAACGTTAAACAAATATAACGTTCATCTGCAAAAGGGAAAAGATTTTGCAGTAATTCATCCCACGTGTACAACATTTATTTTAAGCAACTTAATTATAACACATAATATATAACTTTTGTTATNGCAACTTAATTATAACACATAATATATAACTTTTGTTATGAGGTTTTGTAATAATTTATTTTGAATAACTTATATATATATATATATATATATATATATATATATATATATATATATATATATTATTCTTTTGAATAATTTTAATATAATATTATAGTAGTTTGCTTGAACAACTTAATTATACATATCGAATTGCTATGAATTAATATTTTACTTGTTTACTTTGAACAATCTAAATAAATTAATCAAATGTCTTTTCATTCAAAATTAAGATACTTAATTTTGGGTGACAATATTAATTAGTGAAAGTCACTAATTTAGAAAAGAAAAATTAAATAGGTTAAAAAAAGTACTTTATACAAATTCTTGAATCATATAAAAATAGAAAATAAAATAATATATTAAATTTGTTATACCAATATTAGAATCAATATAAAAAAAAATATAACTTTTTATCCTAGTTAAGATCATAACAAATATCAATATCATTTTTTTATTTAAAGTTACGAGTCTTTATTTTCTAAATCTCATTTCACTTATGAATACATACAAACATATAATTGAAGATAAAAGCTAATAAGCTTCTAGATATAATTAAATTATTATTTATATTAAAATATATTTAAATTACTAAGTTAACTAAACATATGTCCTTAATAAAAATATTATAAATTGTTATATATTTTTACATAAGCTTAATACACAAAAAAAACCTAGATTCATAAATTAAATAATTGAACTAATTATCTTTACTAAACTTATGTATTTTGAAGTTTTTTTTTTCATGTGTTTGTATTGCATTTGATTCAATCTCATAAGACTCATTAAAATTAAAATCATGAATACCAAAATCATGCTCCAACAATAAAGTATAATTGCACTTTTTCCAAAATTTGTCCATAAGATAAGTTTTTATAATTATCGACATTTCATCATTATAATCACCAAGTCTTCATAATCACGTACAGTCCAGCTTCACATCGCCTTTGTCTTATCAACGTCCTTATCGAGTTCAATAAACGCTAGTCGAACTTAACAAAACAATCCAAAAACATGGTGGTTGACTTCTCGTTATTTCTATTTTCTCTTTTTCTATTGTATTGACATTTGAATTTTAATATAACACCGTTACAAATCTACCACACACAAACATAATATTAGAACTAGTTACACGTCTAGCTTATCCAATACCAAGTATGTTGGAATTTATTTTAACAATTAATTTCAACTCCTTTACATTGATCATGAAATCGGTTTTAGCTTGTACGTGAATTGATTCTTTATTTTAGAATGTTCTTCCTGCTATAATCTCCGACCAGAACTAGATGTCATGGCTTAACCTAATACAATAACAAATTGAGAATAGTTAACCATAAACCATGCACCACACATACCTAATACAATAACTCACCTCAAAATCTCTTTTCCTTATAATTTTAGGAATCTCACACTGTCGAAAGCAACTAAAAGAACCAAAAGATGCATTCATAAACCATCAACCATCATCATGAATAAAGTCTGATATATAATATATAATAAAAATATAATTATATTTCCATCTCTATTACTCTGAAAATTCTTGCTTCTTACTAATTCTTTCTTTATCTCGCTCTCAAATCCACTAATCCTCATTTGAAAAAAGATCTTAAAATCCATACATCCTACTAATCCTCTTATTCTCTTCCTCTCAACTGCCAAATCAAATATAACAAATTGTTCCTTCTTTATCTCATCCCAAACAAACTCACTCTAAAGTTTCCATGAATCTTCAGCTACTTCCCACATTTTCTTCCTAACGCGTCCAAAACCTCAACTAACCACAGGGATTCAAATTGAATATATTATTGTACAACCGATAGTTAATGTTGTAAACGTCACAGTGACGTACAGAAACACAGAATCATAGGCCTTGCAAACGTACGTGTCTGTCTTTGTTTTTTCTCATGGAAGGATGTATCCACGTGTTGTCCTTAGCTGTTAAACTTTGCATGGTACAGGTAGAAATAAACACAAAGATAACGAACAAAAAGTTATATATGTTTAAGTGTTTTCACCATCATATATAATAATATTTTTGAACTTTTACTCGTTTTATTATCATTATCATGTTAATTTCAATTTTTCACTGGAACAGGTAGACCTGGGAGGCTAAAAAGGTAAGTATTTGGCGTAGGTTTTGGAAGGTGAAGAGTATCGTAATTATAGTAACTCAAAAACAGTGGTAGCCACAGACACGGCGGCGTCACAGTCTGTGCCGTAACTTTATTCATACTTTTTGACTTGTGCATGCTTTGTTGTTGAGTGAATCTTCCTGCACCTCTCACCTTAGCTTGCACCCCCAAATTTACTTATTTACCTTTTTTTTAATAAATAAATTAATTTTTTTTAACCCAAAAAGTAACCACCGCACTTCGAAGTGCATTTTGCATTTTATAGCCGCACTTTGAAGTGCGGTTACTAAACACTTGCCACCTGGGAGCACTGTATCTAACACCTACCATTGCACAATAACTACTTCACTCTCTAAATTTATATTATATATCTTTTCTCCTTCCACCGTCAAACTCCCTCGAGGTCACCATCATGCTGCATTCATTTCAAATGGGGACAGAAGAAGGAAACAAGATGAAGAAGAATTGCTTAGATTTATATCAAGTATATAATTGATTTCATTAATACGATAATATAAAAAATTAAATCAATTAAATAATATGATGATTAGTATAGGACCATTTGGAAGTGGCACGGCAAGGATCAGAGCCGCAGTCGCTGGAGGTGCACGCCGCATTTGGAAGTGCGGCAAACTTACAGAACCGGACTTCGATGTGCGGCTCGCTGGAGGTGCATGCCGCAGTTCGATCTGCGGCAAACGTAGCTGGAGGTGCACGCCGCAAACCGGACTTCGATGTGCGGCTCGCTGGAGGTGCATGCCGCAGTTCGATCTGCGGCAAACGTAGGACTTCGATATGCAGCAAAAAATGGCGTTTTTAATATAGATAATTTTTTAATTCAACATAATATATGTAACACTCTTTCTTTGAATTTAATTGAATCTGTGGTTTGATCACTTCGTGTTGTTGGCATAATCCATGAAAAAAAAATTTAAAATAAATAATCATAACATAAAACAATAAATTTAAATTAAAAATAATAACATAATAACAAAAACATAAAAAAAATATCAAAAAACATGTAAAAAATTGGAAAAAAGATTGCAGGAATTTAACTTAAAAAAAAACCATGCTCTGGAATATCAATAACCGCACTTCAAAGTGCGGCTACAAAATGCAAAACGCACTTCAAAGTGCGGTGGCTACTTTTTGTGGGGTTAAAAAAATTTAATTTATTTATTAAAGAAAGGGTAAATAGCTAAATTTGGGGGTGCAGGATGAGGTGAGGGAGGTGCAGGAAGATTCACTCTTTGTTGTTTTATAAGATGATTTGGGAATAGCGAATAGATATGCTTTGTTGTTTTATAAGATGATTTGGGAACAGCGAGGTAAATTTTTTTTTTTTTTTTATTTATTTGAAAGGATCGGGAGGTAGGTGAGATTGAATTTGAGAGTAAAATTTATGAAAATTAGTGTAAGATTTGATTAATGTGACAGATAAATTTTTTTTATTTAATTGATAGAAAATTGAAAATTACTAAAATATCTTTTGTGATAAAATTAATATAAAATTATATTTATTAATAATATATTTATTGATAAAAAATATTATAAAGAGGAAAGAAATCAAAATTATTTTCTAAAATAAAAAAATTGTATTCAAGTAAAATTAAATAATTATATCTAAATTATATTTTTTTAAGAATAAAGTATTATTTTATTCAATACTCATATTTGAAATATTCAATCGAATAAAGTAATTAAAAATAAACCATTTTAAATTAAAAAATTATTTCAATTTAATGTATTTTAATTCTTCAATAAAAATGGAATAAACTGATGATAAATTATAAAGCAAAAAAGAACGAAGAGAACACTCCTCCCCCAGGTTCTCCGCATCACCATGTTCATTCCAAGTACACCACCAATCAGTTTATCATGTACCTTGTAAATGGAAGGGGTAAAATAGATTTTCAAAAGTAATCAATGCAAATCCCTTTCCATCAGCAGAGATAAAAAATGCAATGTATCCCGCAAATCTTCGCTCTTTCTTCTTCTCAAATTCATGAAAGTGAACACGAATTATCACTCAAATTCGTCTCTCTAAATTTGTTTGAACAGTAAAATCCATTGAAGTGAATAGAGCCTAAAGGTTTAATTTCCTTAGTTTGGTCAAAGTGATCAAAGTAATTTTAACATTTTTCACACGTTCATTGTTGTTTTATATTTTGTAAAAATGGTTTAAATGAGTCTTTTTTGCTTATGACGTTAAAAATATTAACGGTACAATTACTCTGGCCAAAATCGAATGAGTGTTTAGTTATTAATTGTGTGACACATTACATAACAATGTTAAAAGTTTTTATTTTACCTTTTATATTTTTTATTTTATTTTATTTTATTCTTAATAGATTCTCATCTTTTTCTCCGTTTGAGCCATCACCATCAATGCAGCATCCATTATCTCCCTTGGACAACCACCACGTCAGTCATCACGAAAGGTTCATCATTCCCCTTTCTCGTGCAACCACGAATCTAAAACAGCAAACATACCCAAATCACAACCACCTCTAATCTCATTCCAGAACCACCATTGTTAATTCTCTTCTCCTCAGGATCCGCAAGAACAAGAGAAACATTCGTTCAAAGTTCCATGACCACGATTCAACTTGCAAGAAATAACTACAAAACCCCAAATTGAGAACGTGAAACCCTAATCGCGATCATCCTCTTCTCACGAACAATAACCAATCCACAACAGCTTCACCTAAAATCCTAAATCAAAAAACCCTAAAATCCCAAATTAGAAAATCCTAAATCAAAAAACTCTAAAATCCCAAATCAGAAAACTCATAATATGTGTTGAGATTGTTGATAGGGGGAGCTCAGGTTTAGCTTAACCCACAATCTCAATGATATCTGAGTTTTTGATGATGACAACACATAATTAATAACACATGTGTATTTTGTGTTACATGTTCTATGTTTACATGTTATATGTTTTTCCTTAATGTGTTAAATCTGTTAAAACATATTTGAGAACATGTTTGTGTTGTTCATTGCATATCACTGTGTTAAATATGTGATTTTATATGTGTATGCATGACATATGTTTTTAGAAAAGGGAAATCACAAGCACTATGGTTGAACTTTAAATGTGTGGCAAAACAACAGTTTTAAGTCGATTACATTATGGGGTGAATCGATTAAAACTCGTGTGTTTGCACAAACTCTTTTGATGTATGCTGTGAGTTTTTTTCAAAGAGAAAAGTTTTCAAAACTGTGCAAAAAGATTTCACTTAATAGAATCCATGCTCTCTGTATTCGAATAAGTTAGTTGATGTTTTGAAAATCTGTTAAATGCTTGTAACAACTAACATAACTCATATTTTAAAAATGTTGACCAAGCATTAAACGATAGTCGATTGCATTAATTGTACATTCAATCATTTGTTTGACTGCTGCTAAATTTGTTATAACTGATTGTTATATTCGATTATATTTGTAGCTCAATTGATTAAAATGTGTCTGATATGTGTTATACTATAAATTGACGCAGATTTGAATTCTCTAAGAACTTTTGTGTTTCTAACAATTTCATATCCTTTACAGAAAGTTGTGATCTTACATAAAGAGAGGAAAAGCTCCAAGAAACAAGATTGACCGTGGTGATCAAGAACTTGTGATTTCTTGAAGAGCAAGATTACTGGGTTTCAAAGACTGATAAATCTGCACATTTAGGTGTTACTGCGTGATCAGATTCTGTAATCTCTTGAAGATTGGTTTGAGTTCTCTGTTGTGACTACAGGAAGATGAACATGTGTGTTCTTGACATTGAGGGTGTCTCAAAGGGGTTAGACGGCAGGAGAGGAGATTCTTGCTATTGGTCTTGTTGTGTATTGCCTATATTTTGATTAAAGGGTTACATAGGTGTTTTACATTTTTGACATGAGGTCTTCTATAGAAACCTTGTTGTAAAAACCTTGATCATTATAGTGCATTTGCTTATCGTGGTTGGAAGGACACTAGATGTAGGCAGGTTGGCCGAACTAGTATAAAAACGCAGTGTTTGAATTTTCTGATCCCTTTACTCTTTTTTATTCAATCGATTACTTTCTGTACTTATTCGATTAAGTTTCCGCTACATTGAAAAATCTTTTACCTTGCGATTCAAGAAAAGTATAAAGGCATCATTTTTTTGTGGAAAAGATTTTAAAAGCTTTTGTTTTTTACACTTCACCAATTCACCCCCCCCCCCCCTCCTTGGTGTGAGAAATTGAGTCATTCTACTTTAACAATATGCAAAAACCCAAATCACACCATCACTCTACCATGTTCGTCTTCTACACCTCGAGACAGCCTGGTTCTTCACCGTGAGAAGCATAGGAGACTCAAAACTCTAACTCTCCTCAGCTTAAATTTAACTTTAATTTCTAATCATGCCACGACAATTGTACCGATTATTTCTAGTATTACAAAACTACACAAGTCACTCAACATTGGTCAGAGGTCGTAAGCATAAAGGACTAACTTAAACCGTTTTTACAAAATATATGACAACTATAAATATCTGGAAAAAAAAAGTAGGAGCACTCTAAACAAACCTACCAAATCTAATAGGAACCTACCAAATCTAGAGATCAAAATAGGTATTAAACCTTTATTTAATTATTAGATCTCCCAATACAAGAAACAATGTCACATAGAGACTAATCGTGATGTATACCTTACAAGGGGAATCGATCTTCTTCTACCTAGCTTCACATGCATCATCACATATATTGGTTTATATGTAACATCATTGTATGCATCACCGATCAAAACACATAAAAACAGAGGGTTAATTTAAAGGTTTAATCATTTCGGACATCCCTGTTTTTGTAGGATCTTCTCAAATAGGTCCTCGTATTGTAAATATTTTCAATTAGGTCCCTTATTGTGAAAATTTGAATCAATTTAGACCTAGCCGTTAATTAGGCTGGACGACGTTAAAAGTTGTGGTGCGTGACTTGGTGACATGAGCAAATTTTACTGACGTCTCGCAGAGTTTGGTCGCCTTAGGTGAATTTTTTTTATTTACAGTTTTAAATAAGTTTAATTTAATCAAAATACTACTTATTATCATACCCTTATTCTCTAAATACCCTTCTTCACTACCTCCAATACTTGAACTGGTCTGAATCACCCGAATGAATGGTTCTTCACATGACTCCAGGGCTCTATCGAGTTCTTCCATCTCCTCCGAGGTGGGACCCACCTTTCTACCAAATGGGTCACTGGGTCACTTCTTCGGTCACGTTGAACCGGTGGGATGGTGGTGGAGGTGGTGACCAGAACTGGGCGATTCGAACGAGAGGGTGTTGAAGGAGGGAAGAGGAAAGAAAAGTTCATCTTTTGTCTTCACTCTGTCTGACATTTTCACTTTCTCAACAAATCCAAAATCTTCAAAAAATGAAGGTTTGGTCAAATAGTCCAACTTTAAAGAAGATCCACTAAACACTGATTCTCTAAACAAGGGGCCACCACATACAAAAATATCAGAAGACTCAAAATATAAAAGCAGCAAGCTACTTCGACCATCTCCCCCGCCCCCTCCTTCTCCCACTCCACCGACCTCTCCGCCGTCGATGACCCCATCGACGAGGTCGACTTCGTAGACGATACCCTAGACCCTCCTTCCCTCTGCCTCAACCCTTTTCCCCGTTACTACTTTGACCCCCTTACTACCTCCATTCCCCAGTCCTTCCTTTCCCCTCCCTCCCTCCGCCAATCGCACACCAACAACGACTTACCCCTCTGATCCTTCCCCGACCACGACCCCTTCAAGGTCGCCTTCGCCTCCGATGACATCCATGTCGATGACGCTGTCAGGAACATGGCCACCCGCATCACCACAATTGAGGACGCGTTGCTACTCAAAAACTCTCCCCTCAGGGACGATTAAGGCGACTGGTTCGACAAGAAAAATTTGTTTCTCAGGAAAGATAGAATGTTCAGATACAACTTCGATTTGTTGAACCCCCTAAACAACCCCTTGCTTCAGGATCCCGACGTTGTTGCCACCATCGAGCTCACCAGGGGCGATCACACTGTCCAAAAGTGGTGGATCCACGAGTTCAAGAAAGTCTCCTTCCCTAGTAAAAGAAAATTGGCACAAGCTAAATTTGAAAATGCCAAATTCCTCGTATTTTCGGCGCATTATGCAGTCAGCAAATCATATCCCTGTATTTTCTGATCTCGAATACTGTTACTACAAGAGTTTCTTCTTCACATGGCTCCACACTCAAGCTCGAAATCTCCTAATAACATTTTCATCATAAGCATTATAGTTCCAACGTGCCTTCCAATTTTTCCTTATTTTCAATTTCACAATAAAACAAATAAAAATGGACACAATTGTTCTTCCCACACTATGAAGAAGTAAAAGTTACGGTGTTGTCTGAACGAACCATGGTAATGAAAGAATTGATGGAGGAAAAAAGGATAAGAAAGGAGGATGAGGATGAATGCGAGAAAGAAAGAGGATAGTTTTTTAAAATTTAAAATAATTAAATTCCACGTAACTCTAAAACATGTCTCAAGTCAGCATCCTACCTCACTACAATTTTAACGTCGTTATGACAAAATTAACGGCAAGGCTCCAATTGACTCAATTTTACAGAAACAGGGACCTAATTAAGATGAAAAAAATACGATGACCTATTTGAGACGACCCAACACAATTAAAGATGTTCGAAATGATTAAACCTAATTTAAAAGTATACATTGCAAATTTCATCAAATAAATAAAGTTTAAACCCTCTGATGGTCCTCATATTTGTATGGGAATCTCAGTTGGGTCCTCATACTTAAAATTGTCTCAATCGGGTCATAATATTTGTAAAATTGAGCCAATTTTACCCTATCCACTACAGCCCCGGGTGGCGAAGAGCCGACATCGAGGTGCCAAACCTTCCCGTCGATGTGAGCTCTTGGGGAAGATCAGCCTGTTATCCCTAGAGTAACTTTTATCCGTTGAGCGACGACCCTTCCACTCGGCACCGTCGGATCACTAAGGCCGACTTTCGTCCCTGCTCGACGGGTGGGTCTTGCAGTCAAGCTCCCTTCTGCCTTTGCACTCGAGGGCCAATCTCCGTCTGGCCCGAGGAAACCTTTGCACCCAATATCATAAAAAAGACTTAAAAAAAACTAAAATATTGGCAATTTGAAATGAAATATAGTTCCAGATCCATGTATTCTTTTTGTACTATCTTTTTTGTACTAGATTCAATTAAATTGGAACGAAATCTTTCATCATTTTTCGAATTCTTCTTTTTTATCTTAGTTGTTTTCATCTTTTTCTTAGATTCGAATCCGAAAAGAGTTATCAGTTAATTAAAAACCCAAAGGAGGGTCATGTCCAAGGGTAAAGATATCCGAGTAAGTGTTATTTTGGAAGGTACTGGTTGTGATAAAAAGAGTCTAAATAAGGAATCAAGCAGTATTTCTAGATAGATTACTAACAAGAATCAACACAATACACCTGCCTAGTTGATTGGAATTGATAAAATGATGTCGATGTCCCCGTCGTTATATAACAACATATGCTAAAGAACAATAAAAAAAAAAACCAATCCTTTATTATAATTATATTTCTTGAAATCAATGTTATTTTTGGAATAGGAATAAATAAACTATGGAAAAATCTAAGCGACTCTTTATTAAATCCAAGCGATCTTTTCGTAGACGTTTGCCCCCGATTCAATCGGGGGACCGAATTGATTATAAAAACATGGGTTTAATTTGTCGATTTATTAGTGAACAAGGAAAAATATTATCTAGACGTGTAAATAGATTGACCTTAAAACAACAACGATTAATTACAATTGCTATAAAACAAGCTCGTATTTTATCTTCGTTACCTTTTCTTAATAACGAAAAACAATTTGAAAAAAGCGAGTCGACTGCTAAAATGAATACTTTAAGAAAAAAAAATAGAAATTAAAAATTCGAAATCCAATTTGAATTTAGATTCGAATTAAACCTGGATTGATGTTTTGTTCAAAATTAGGATAATTCCATTTGATTTTTTTTTGTAATAAAAAAGATAATAGGTAACGAAGAATAATTTTTGAAGCATGGTTGTTTATTTTGATAGCTTTAGCATATGCTAAAGCTATCAAAATAAACAAATTTCAAGTCTATACCTTCCTGGAGTAAATAAGGGGTTTTAATTTTTTATGATATTATCGGCAATCATAAAAAGACAATTCTCTTTTAAGATAGCAATTTGTGCAACTATTTTACGATTAAGAAGCAATTGCTTCGTGTATAGACTATTAATTAAATTACTATAAATATAAGATACTTTTTGATTCTCGCGAATTACTGCATTTATTCGACTAATCCATAAACCACGAAAATCTCTTTTTTTCCTATCTCTATCACGATGAGCCGAAACCAAAGCTTTCAATTTCTGTTGAGTAATAGTTCGAGTAAGTCTTGAATGAGCTCCGCGAAAACTTGATATGAAGAAACGAATTTTTGTCCTCCGTTTGTGAGCTATATATCCTCGTTTAATTCTGGTCATTGAATAAATGATATTTTCAGGAATAACTTTTTAATTTTTCAGTTATTCTTTTTATCTTCCTAGTCTATTAATAACAAAAATGGATTCTTCCGATGTATAAAAAAAAATTCCAACGGCTCTTGCTACTCTAACCGCCCCAACCACGATTTTTTATATTAAAAATTGAACCTCAAAATCATAAATTGTATTGATACTAGATATCAAATAAAATAAAAATAGTAAATGAAATAGGACACATATTTTTATAATTAATTGGTGGGTTCCTTCGTTTCTATGATTTTTTTTAGAAATGACCAGGTCCTCTCTATACACCGGAGCCTTTTTCTTTTCATTTTTGATTCATTTAATCAATGTTAGTGTTAACTTGTACAGTTCACACTCTGTGGCTCTACCCATGCAACAATATTGAGTAAGTAGGTTTTTTCACAACGAAATCTAATTATATAGTAACGGTATTTAATTATGAAAATTTGCTGGGTAGCTGACCCTCTTATTCTATTCTTAAAAAATCCATCAAAATTCATTCATTAAGGACATACTTTATTTTTAATTGAAATAGTATTTTCTCCGCTTAACGGGTAACTTTTTTTTGTTACCGATGGGAAAGTCCTTCTCATATGAAATTGCAAATTAGTATTATTGGTTTTGCACCAATCGGAACCATAAATTTGATACAAGATAGAAGAATGTAAAGAATTATATAATTATATATATAAGAATTATATATTAAGTTAAGATAGTGTGAATGTAGTTTTTGCATTCACACTATCTTAACCGATTACTAATACTGAAAAATTTTTGAATTTGTTTTTTTCTTAGTATTTAAGCTGAACGAGTCGCACATACACCCTAGTACACGTTCCTCGGCGTTGAGGGCATCCCCGAAGAGCTGGGGATTTTGTGACGTTTCGGATTGGCTGTCTTGTGTTTCTAATAAGTTGTTTCATAGTTGGCATGGTAAGTCGTACTATATATATCTATATTTTTGTATAATGAGCAGGTTTAGATCTATCCTAACCGTGAATTACTTATATTCTATATTCCTTATAGCCTATATTATTTATAGTATATTAATAGATTAACTCTTAGAGATTTTATTTGAAAATGTAAAGTAAGAAGCGTAAAAAATTAAAATTCCAATCCTGTATTTAATTAGAATAACCTTTGCCGCCAATTTTTTATTAAACTGCTACAAGATCTACAATTCCATGAGCTTGGGCTTCTGCTGCTGACATAAAAACATCCCTTTCCATGTCGTCCGATATAACCCATAAAGGTTTGCCCGTTCTTTGTACATAAACCCTTGTGATAGTTTCACGCATTTTCAGTAGCTCTTCTGCTTCCAGGACAAATTCTCCCGCTTGTGCCTCATAAAAAGAACTAGCAGGTTGGTGGATCATTACCCTGATTATATCACTTAAGTAGTATTTCCCTTATCTTGATAAATATTTTTAGAATTCTTTTTACTATATTGGTAGATTGCTAAAGATTGTCTTTATTCCCAAGATATATAAAGAAGACAACTAAGAAAAGGGCAAAAAGAATATTCAATAACCGTACAAGCAGTTTCTGTGTATTGATGCATACGGCTTTTGTACCTATGCAATTCATTTTTTCCTCTATGGATAGAGTATTTTCTTCGATGAATTTTGTTTCTACATTTCAAAATTTCTTTTTTTCTATCAAAGAAAAAAGAAGTACAAAATCTCCTAGGTCTTTTGGATCCGGATCCTTAAATAAGAAACAATAGAATAACCAACTTTCTTTTTTTTTTTTAATCTATTTTGAAATACTACGATGGTTCCGTTTTTTTTTATATCATTTTGGTATTCAACAATCCAAAAGTTTCTTTTTTTTTTTTTTTATGTTTATGTTTCTTCTGATTCAAATAAAAATTGTTACAAGCTTTCTGGTATGAAAAAAAAAACAAAAAAGTATGCGACACTAAAATGAAACTAGGTTCCTTATAGATCAGATAAAATTGGAAATACCCTATTTTTCATACTACTCTTTCTATATAATTAAATGATTCAAAAAAATTGCATATGGAATTCAAAATACCATGCTATTATTACTTTGGTTTTTATGGCGAAGGTATAGTATATATAGATAGATAGATAGATATCTATTCTAGATATTCTCAAAAAAAAGAATCATTGGCGCCAAGCGTGAGGAAATGCAAGACGTTTGGTAATTGTGCCTCCTGCCAAAAGAAAGGATCCCATTGAAGCAGCTAATCCCAGACATACTGTCTGTACATCTGGTTGTACAAATTGCATAGTATCATAAATAGCTATTCCAGGTATTACCCACCCCCCCGGAGAGTTTATAAACAGAGACAATTCTTTATTCTCTTTCTCTATGCTCAGATAGATCATAAGACTAATAAGTTGATTCGATATTTCACTATCAACATCTTGACCTAAAAAAAGTAATCTTTCTCGATAAAGTCGATTGATTAGGATTCCATTTTTTCCTTAAAAGCCGTACATGCACCTTTTGATGCATACAGTTCATCAAAAATTATATAAGCAAAAAAGGAATCAATGTGTCGATTTGAATCTTTCTCTTTTTCTAATGGATTTCTTCGAACTAAAAAAAAAGAAGAATATACTTAATTTAGTGAACTATCTTCTCATTGATGTATTGCTTTCATCGAGATCGAAGCCGAATCACAATGTAATTTTCTTGTTTCTGAATGGACTTTTTCAATTCTTTTAGGTTTCTTTTCTACTCTGAGTAAAGATCTGCCCGATTTGGATTTGCACATATAGAACAAATATTCCAAAACTATGTATTTTTGTTAGAACTTCTTCCTTTGCTGAATTGAGTAATGTTTTCTTTCTGTAAAATACAATATATGGATATCATAGAAGTAGTGATCATAGAAATATTACCAATTGGTTTTTTCTACACAGAGCCTGGGTACTTTATTTTATTGGTCCAATTAAGCCAACCATAAATTATTCATAATTTCGAGTAATAATCTGGAAATTTTCTCTAAAAATGAAAAAATCGATAGAATAGTACTTCATTACACTTCACGCTCCCCATTTTTTTATCTTTATTATTGAATCATTCTCTTTTGGGGGTGAAAGAGGGGATATCTCGATCGGGGGAGAAAACGGGTAAATCCCATATAACCTACTATATCTGACAAGTCGCACTATATATCAATCCAAACTGCATCTCTATCCCCGGGGAGTCGAAAGGGTACTCTTGGAACACCAATGGGCATAAAATGGACAAATAATAAAGTCATATATCTCACTTTAGTGTGGAAACGTAAGAATTAGCTTATCGTGTTAAAAATGATTGACTTTATTTTAGATTAATATTGCTTTTTTTTTTAGAAAAAAGAATACTAAAAAAAGTCAAGTTGTTACAAATGGGTCATTGGGGTGATAAGCGAATATGTCTGCATTTACTTATTTAAATAGTCATAGAGAAAGTTGTCAACCCCTCTCGTCTCCCCACCATTGCGTATTGTTACTTATCCGGTATAGAATAAATCTGTTTCTTTGATTTCTACAAATATGATTGTTCTATTTTCCAAGAGAATATACTGAAAGGCTATATTCATTTTTTTCCAGTGCAATAAAGTTACATAGTGTCTATTTTTTGTTGAAGGGGTATTTTTTCATGGGTTTACCTTGGTATCGTGTTCATACTGTTGTTTTAAATGATCCGGGCCGTTTGCTTTCTGTTCATATAATGCACACAGCTCTAGTTGCTGGTTGGGCCGGTTCGATGGCTCTATATGAATTAGCAGTTTTTGATCCCTCTGACCCTGTTCTTGATCCAATGTGGAGACAGGGTATGTTCGTTATACCTTTCATGACTCGTTTAGGAATAACTAATTCGTGGGGCGGTTGGAATATCACAGGAGGGGCTATAACGAATCCGGGTATTTGGAGTTACGAAGGTGTGGCCGGAGCACATATTGTGTTTTCAGGCTTGTGCTTTTTAGCGGCTATTTGGCATTGGGTTTATTGGGATCTAGAAATCTTTTGTGATGAACGTACTGGAAAACCTTCTTTGGATTTGCCAAAAATTTTTGGAATTCATTTATTTCTTGCAGGGGTGGCTTGTTTTGGTTTTGGCGCATTTCATGTAACAGGATTGTATGGTCCCGGAATATGGGTGTCTGATCCTTATGGACTAACTGGAAGGATACAATCCGTAAATCCCGCGTGGGGTGTGGAAGGTTTTGATCCTTTTGTTCCGGGGGGGATAGCTTCTCATCATATTGCGGCAGGAACGTTGGGCATATTAGCTGGTCTTTTCCATCTTAGTGTGCGTCCACCCCAACGTCTATATAAAGGATTACGTATGGGAAATATTGAAACTGTCCTTTCTAGCAGTATTGCTGCTGTCTTTTTTGCAGCTTTTGTCGTTGCTGGAACTATGTGGTATGGTTCAGCAACAACCCCCATTGAATTATTTGGTCCTACTCGATATCAATGGGATCAGGGATACTTCCAGCAAGAAATATATCGAAGAATTGGTGCTGGACTAGCCGAAAATCAAAATTTATCAGAAGCTTGGTCTAAAATTCCTGAAAAATTAGCTTTTTATGATTACATCGGAAATAATCCAGCAAAAGGGGGGTTATTTAGAGCGGGTTCCATGGACAATGGAGATGGAATAGCCGTCGGTTGGTTAGGACATCCCATTTTTCGAGATAAAGAAGGACATGAGCTTTTTGTACGTCGTATGCCTACTTTTTTTGAAACATTTCCAGTTGTTTTAGTAGATGGGGACGGAATTGTTAGAGCCGATGTTCCTTTTCGAAGAGCAGAATCGAAATATAGTGTCGAACAAGTAGGTGTAACTGTTGAGTTCTATGGTGGTGAGCTTAATGGAGTAAGTTATAGTGATCCCGCTACTGTGAAAAAATATGCTAGACGTGCTCAATTGGGTGAAATTTTTGAATTAGATCGTGCTACTTTGAAATCAGATGGTGTTTTTCGTAGCAGTCCAAGGGGTTGGTTTACTTTTGGGCATGCTTCATTTGCTCTGCTATTCTTTTTCGGGCACATTTGGCATGGTGCTAGAACTTTGTTCAGAGATGTTTTTGCTGGTATCGACCCAGATTTAGATGCTCAAGTAGAATTTGGAGCATTCCAAAAACTTGGAGATCCAACTACAAGAAGACCGGTAGTATAACATTCTTTTGTTCTTTTCTACTTTTTTCTAATTTTTAATTTCACATAAAGAACTAGATAAATCTTGATTTGAATCATTGCATTTATTCTTTTTTTTCTTTTCGAAAAGAGCCCCACCCCAAGAAACAGGTATGAAAGCTATAATTGTAAACCACGATTAAATTTATGGAAGCTTTGGTTTATACATTCCTCTTAGTCTCAACTTTAGGAATTATTTTTTTCGCGATTTTTTTTAGAGAACCTCCTAAAGTTCCGACGAAAAAGGTAAAATAATGTTTTATTATCTTAATTGAAGTAATGAGCCCCCAATAGGGAGGGCGCATTACTTCAACTAGTCCCCATGTTCTTCAAATGGATCTCTTAGTTGTTGGGAGGGTTGCCCAAAGGCAGTATATAAGGCATACCCAGTAAAACTTACAAGTAAACCAGATATAGAGATGGCAATTAGAGTTGCTGTTTCCATTATTTTAATTATAAAGTTTCCAGATCACAATAGATCGATCTATAGGATAAGATCCTTATATTTACAGCGGAATGGTATACAAAGTCAACAGATCTAAATGAATAAAAAAGAGTATTTATGGCTACGCAAACCGTTGAGGATAATTCTAGATCTGGTCCAAGACGAACTGTTGTAGGGAATTTATTGAAACCTTTAAATTCAGAATATGGTAAAGTAGCCCCGGGGTGGGGAACTACTCCTTTGATGGGTGTTGCAATGGCTCTATTTGCGATATTTCTATCTATTATTTTGGAGATTTATAATTCGTCCATTTTATTGGACGGAATTTCTATCAATTAGATTCACAAGAATCGAGTAATTAGTTTATAGAAAGTGAAGCATTTAAGTTTCTTATTGTTTCTTAGTCTATTCCATTTTGATGTGGTAGTTTGATCGTAGAATTTATTTGTTTCTGTATTTCCGGAATATGAGTGTGTGACTTGTTTTAATTGGTCCTATTGAAAGTACAGAACATAAAATGGGTCTGTCATCTTGATAGAGATGGTTTTATTCCGTCAGATATTTAATCTAGTATCTGGAACACGGAATATAGAAAATAGATTATAAAAATCTTAATACTATGATTCATACTAAATATTTAGACCTCGCAACTGGACTTAAAAACCTTTTCAAAGATTTCTCAAAATAAATTGAAAAATTTTGATTCTTTCAAGCTTCTCCAGTTTGTCTTTATTTTGAGCAAAGGACAAGCCTTTCCTTGAATTTTTTCATTATATTCTATCTATTCATTGAAGAAGTGATGATCCAACAATTCTTACTCAGAGAATTTTTGGACTTCGATTAAAAGTTGTTTTGAATCTGAATCATCGTGGTTCTAGTATGAATCTGAGGTTTTTTTTATTCATTCATATGGTCCTAACAAGAAAATCCTTATCAATAATAAAAATTCAAGAATAAAGAAGACAGCAGTAAATTCACATTATACAAATAAAAAAATGAAGTAAAGAATATTCAAGAGGCCTTAAAAGATCACCATAAAGACGAGTGTGCCGACTTGATATTTTGGCATTATAACAATAACAAAAAAGAATAGCTTTCGTATTTTTCTTTTTTTATCGTAAGAGAAAATTAGAATCATAGGATTAAATAAAGCAGTTTCAAACTTTCTATTACAGATATCTGTTTTTGTTACAATCAATATTGGGTTATTTTTGTTTGAGCCGTACGAGATGAAATTCGCATATACGGTTCTTTGGGGGGGTTCCTTTGGGTTACCTATCTCAATAAAGTTTATGATTGGTTCGAAGAACGTCTTGAAATTCAGGCGATTNCCCCCCCCCCCCCCCCCCCCCCCCCAACAACCACCTCATTTTCTTTCCCTTGTACCAAACAATTAAAACTTCAAACTTTTCTTTTCTTTTCAATTTCTTTCAACTGTACCAACACACAGGTTTAAGGAACACTGAACAAAAAGTTAAAGCAATGATTTGGAACAATACTCCCTTAAATCCCCAGCTAACCACTGATTCATGATATGATATACAACCCAACTAAGATTTCACAAGCTGGATGAATTAACCAAAAACCTAAAGTCAAATAATCTTTCTAGGTCGATTCCCCCATAATCTAAAAAAGCATTCCTTTTTTGTAATTCTTTTCTCTATATAAAAGCCCATCAACACCATAATATTAATAGCAAGTACCTGTAAGAACACGAAGAGCAGAAATTGATGTTGACAATGTTGTCGAGACCCGCATTTGCAATACTGCTCATGGTTTTCTAAGGAAACAAGAAAAGAAGAGACCCATTAATGGGACATTAAGAAAATGATAAAGATGGGATTTTCATGAAAAAGACCCCAAAAAGAGAACCCTCCGACAAAAACAACCAAATGAGCCTCCGCCCGATGCTGTCCGGTTTGCAAGATCTGGAAACTGATTCGGTTACTAACCTGAGATCGGGTATGAAGATGAGGAATGGTTTCCCCATTATGATACAGATGGATACCAAGGTGAAGATGAAGATGGATTGGCTCAAGAGCAAGAAGGTGGGAATTCGAGTAACGTGCGACGGAATCAGAGGAACGATTCCCGTCAGCAAGTCTCCGGCAGTGGCTTCCGTGGTGGACTCCGACTGTAAGGTGGATCTTCGAATCAAGATCTGGAAGCTTTCGTGGTGGACTCCGCCTTCCCGCCGCCGCGCATTATGTTCTCCATGTCGTACCCCAAAACATCGCTTCTACTACTCCGATTCGCCACCATCCCCATCCCGTCTTCAAGATCTTCCGAGAGGGGCAGATGTTCCCGATGGGGAGAACATTCATCGCCGGCGAAGTAAATGCTTGATTTAAATTTCTTTTAAATTTTCTTCCTTTTAAATTTCTTTTGACAAAGTTATCTGATCCTTTTCAGTGTTGATGCTTGATTTTATTGAAGTAGGGTTCTCTTTTATTCTTCTGCCCATTCGTTTCTGGTGATCTGTTTTGCATCTTTGTTTGTGATTTTTGGTCCAATTGATTTATAAATTTAATTTATAAGATTAAAATCGCTACTGCAAACGCGGGTTTAGATACAAATTCCGATCGGTGGCGGAATTCGACGGAGCCACCGCCCTAGGCTGGAATCCCAATCTGGAATTGACGGTGGAGGGTGATGAAAACGATGAAGGGTGATGAAGGCGATGGAGGAATCGCAATCCCTTAACATTTTCAATTAAATTTTGTGACATGTCATACTGTTCAACTAAAAAAAAAATTAATTTTGTGACGTGTCATACTGTTCAACTAAAAAATTCTACTTTGTTAAGTTAGCATTGTGCATCACAGCATCAAACTTTAACGTACGTTTGTGAGATGAAGACCGTTTCAATTATGAATGATATTTCCGTATAAATACGAAGATCATCCAATAATTTAAATCAATAAATAAATTGATTTTTTGAAACTAAATTAAGTTTAAAATTTATTTTTTAATATATTATTAAAAAGTAAATATCTATCTTAACCAAATTTTATGAATATTAAGTTTATAACTTTGTTTATTATTAAATTAATATTAAATCATCTACTAATATACACATAAACATAAAAATATATATATATATATATATATAATAATAATAATAATAAAAGTTTCACCTAACAAAATCAATTCATTTTGAATTAAATTAGGTTTAAAATTTATTTTTGGGTTAAATATGTTTTTAGTCCCTAAACTATTGACCGTTTCTGGTTTTCGTCCCTCTTCCAAAGTAAGGTACAATTTAGTCCTCAATCTTTAAAAAACGTTCGTTTTAGTCGAAAAAACGAACGTTTTGAGGACTAAAACGAAGACTAAAAACAAAATTTTGAGGACTAAAACGAACGTTTTTCTAAAGAATGAGGACCAAATTATTTAACCCTTTATTTTTTTAATAAATTAGTTTTTATGTAATATCTCTGTATCCATCACTTTCAAAACACAAAAGAAAGCGTCAAAACGTTTTCGGTTTGGATTATATATATTTTTACATATCACCATTACAATTATTTATTAGACCAAAATATTCTTTTATATATATATATATATATATATATATATGAATGATAATATGATGTTATAAAAGATTAAATATAATTGATGACATCTCCAACCAATTATATTTATCATCTAAAAATTAGTTTGCAATAAAAATATATCATATAAATCAATTGTATGAAAATGATATATGCTTAAATTCATTTTCATAACATTAAAGTCAATTCTAACAAAATTAATTAATTTATTGCATCTCCCGTAACAAAATTACTTACTTTATTAAAAAGAGAATATGCAAAAGGTTTATCCCAGTTTCTCTACAGAAAAAAAACAATGTTTTCAATGACTTATCACATTAAATTTCTCTTTAATTTTTAATATTACAAAAAAGTCTTTAAATAATAATAAATAATTTTAATGACAAAAAATAATTAACTACCGTACAACCTTATAAAATGGTATTTCAGAAGTGCTGATGATTTAAAAATAGTTTGGTTATTTTAATATTAAATAGTTTATTCATAAATAGTTTTGTTATAAACCAGTTTTATTATTTTAAAATGCATCCTTTCTCTAAAAACTATTTTTCTAGAATTTTCTACCTTTTTTTCTAAGAGTTCTAACTCCCGAGTCATCTCTTTGACCATCATGAGGTGTATAATCAACCACAGCAACAAGATCTATGTTTCTACCCGATCAGTTCTTTGTTTAGAGCAAGTAAGTTTCTTCCCTTTTTCCTTTTTATTTTCAGTCTTTGATTATGCAGATAAATTTATTTTGCATGTATCAAACGTGTTTCTTCCTTGATTCTTGGCCAATTTGAGGTTCTAAGGTTTGACTCCGATCACCAATTGGTGAGTTGCAAGCTTTTCTAGAGTTTCTTGTGGTAGAAACAACGGTCAGGCGCTCTTAGAGCTGTAGCAGTTCTCCTTAAGGTAAGGGAAGCTAAGATTTTTGCTTTAGTTATGGTTATATTAATAATTTGGTATCTCAATTGTTATTAATTTTAAAGAAGTTACTATGATTGGGTGTTTTATAAGTGTGTTTAATTGTTAATTTGGATGGTATGATGTTGAGAGTAATTATAATTGTGTGATCTTAATGTGTTATATTGTCATGAATGTGTTTGATGAAGTTGTGTTGTTATTAGAAACTGAGTTCAAAGTGGTTGTGATGAGAAATGATTACATTTTTTAGTTTTAAGTCTAAAAAGAAGAGGTTTACAAGAGTGAGTTTGAGAAATTGAGAGTAAACTATTGTTTAGGTACTGTCATGAGGTAGGTTCAGACTTGTTGGGTGTATATTGAGGGTTGAAATCTGAGGTATAGTGAAAGTGAAGTTTATAGTTGAAGTGTAGAAGTGTTTCGAAGGAAAAAATGAGGTTGTAGGTAGTGAAATTGTGAGAGAATGATTGCAAACTGGTTTGAGGCATTTAGGATTTGTCATGAAATGTTTTATGATTTGTCTAAGCATTGAAATGGAGGAAATATGATGTAAGAGTATTTGGTGGTTGATAGATAGAATTTAGTTTGATTTAGAATTAGTTTTTGAGAGTTTGAAGTGAAAATTTGAAATTTGAATTCTATGTTTAAATGGTCATTTTTAAAAGGTGTTAATAAGTCATTTGTGAATTAATTTATAAGTCATCATTAATATTTTATTAAAATTTTGATTAGTAAAAAAAATTAATCATCAAATCAATTTTTATTTTTGGTTAGAGACCAAAAACATATTAAATTATTAACATTGAAAGTAACTTCCAAATTTTAACTTATTCACAACCCGAGTTTAAAATATTTTAAAAATTGGTTCCATCAAAAAGTAAATTAATTAAATTTAGAAAAGAAATGATAATATTGTAATGGATTTTGGATGGTTTTGGGTAAAAAAGAGTGTAAATTGCAGTATTTATGTGGATTCAGAGCAGTTGTTCAGAGTGTAGAGAAGAACTGACAAATCCAGAGACCTAGCACGTGTGTGTCTGTATTAGGAGTCTTGCAGTGAAAAAAAAACTAAACAGACCTATCAATATAGCACTTTTGTTAAATTGTTTTTTACTTTAGGGTGTTGCTCCCTCCACCACCACAGTCTTCTCTATTTTGCCCCTCAGTAAAATTTTATTTTTAGAATTATTGTTTTTTAATTTTATTCATTTATAACATATTTCACTGATAACCTACGTAGTTCCTTGTATGAGTAAAATATTTTTCTGCAAAGCTCAGTGATCGTGAAAAGAATTATCAAGCAATCTTCCTCTTGCTTTCGGTGCAGTATGTGGTGCAGTGCGTTTGTGGTGTAATGTGCTTGTCGTGGTTCCTCTCCAGGTACGTAGTCATAATCCTTCCAATAATCCTAAACCCTAAACCCTAAACCCTAAACCCTAAACCCTTCCAATAATCCTTCCAATAATCTTTCCAATAATCCTTTAACCCTAAAACGTAAAATGAAAACGAAGCCTAAACGGATGACATCCTTCAACGGATGTCAACATCCGTTTAAGGCAAAACGGATGTCAACATCTGTTTCGCCTTAAACGGATGTTGACATCCGTTGAAGGATGTCATCCGTTTAAGCTTTGTTTTAATTTTATGTTTCTGTTATTATTTTATTAGATATTTTAATATTTTGATTTATTATTTTTGAATATCTTTTTAATGTATTTTAATAATGTATATTTATATTAGTTTATATTTAAATATTAAAATATTAAAATAATAAAATAATAAAAATAAAAAATTTTAACTTTAAGGATATAATTGGAATTAAAAATAATTGGGAAGGTGGAGGAAGAAGGCTGTGGAGGTGGAGGGAGCAACACCCTTTACTTTATTCTTCTCTTTTTCTTTGGCTGCGGTCCTTTTATTCAATTTTCAAAAAATAATTAGAGTTTAACAAAATTAAAAATATAATATTTTTATTAAATAATTTTTTTTACCTTTCTTTTTTCTCTCTCACTGCATCTCTTTATTTTTTTAATTAACTTTCAAAAATCAATTAAAAGTTTAACAATTTTCAAAAATCGATTAAAATTTAAAATACATGTAAGAGATAAACAGTATTTTAAAGAAACTTATTTTGAAATACATTTATTTTAAAAATACGTTTAAAAAACATATTAAATTTAAAATAACAAAAAAAAAACTTAAAAAATCAAAATAAAATAAACAAAACAGAAAAAATAACATTAACAAAATTTAATAAAATATCAAATAAAAAATAACAACCAAATACTATTGTAATATTTTAAAAATAACTAATTATATAAGATAAAATTAATTAAATAAATAAAATCAATATAATTTGAAACAAAAAAATATTTTAATAACAATTATTAAATATTACAAATTTATTAAAACAAACAAAACATAAAATTAAATAACAAAAAACATGCAATTTAAAATAACAATAAAAAAATTTTATCGATTTTTTTATTTGTTTATAATTTTTAATTTAATTCTACTTCACTTTTTAAATATTCAAATTGTATTTTATTGTTATTTTTTATTTAAAATTTTGTTACTTTTTGTTTTGTTTTTTGTTTTATTTTGATTTTTCAAAACTTATTATTTGTTATTTTAAATTTAATACGTTTTTTTTCTTAATTTGAAATATATTTAAAAATAAATGTATTATATATATATATATATATATATATATATATAACAAAGTTAATTATAAAATGTAAGAAATAAGTTCAAAATAAAATAATTTTTTAAACAATATTATTGTTCAAATGTTGTTGGTGTATAAAATGGGATTAAAGGTTCTTTAGTTTAAGGGATATAACCTCTGGTAAGAACTTAGGATAGAGTCAATGATAAAATCTATGAGAAAAAAAGTAGGGATGATAACGGGTTTGTTTGGTTACAGGTAGTGTCTACAGGTAGTGTCTACTCGTAATCGAACCCGTCGGATGAAACTGTATTCGTTATCTATCCTATTATTTGCAGAATATCTATATAAAAGGACTCGTAGATTTTTTTCAATTCACGGTATCCGTTTGATATTCGTTTTTAACCCACAAATATTTTAAAAACATATTTTATAAAATTTTAAGTAAGATTTAAATTAAACTATAAAAAAATAAAAAATATTTAAAACATACATCAAAGTAAAATTTAATGATAAGTAAATAAACAAAATTTTAAATATAAATTCAAATTAATAGTATCT